GGGGGGGTTGGCACTTCTCTCTAATAGCTGACTGAATCAGCCTTAGATAAAAGCACCAAAAAGCCCCACTGAAGCGCCTGATCTATACAGACACTGTAGCGCCGGGTCGAACTAACATGCTGCTTCTTCCGACAAAGTGCGTTTTGTGGGGGTTTTTTAACATCTGCCAGCAGCCTGTATGCTCACAGTATTCAAGAGGGATTGATGCTAATTGGTCTTTACTCCCTGATATATTTAGAAAAAACAGTGATGTTCCCTTCTCAGCCTACATTTTTTTAGAAAAACAAGCCAAGCTCTTTTAGTCTCTTCTCTTACAATAAATTCTTGTTTCCCCTGGCCATCTTACTAGCTGTTCTCTGCACCTGTTTCAATTTGAATACACAATTCTTGAATATGGGTGACCTAAATTCTGTGTGTGATCACATGAGTTTCCACAGCCAATGAAAGTACCTGGAAAGATGACTGGAAAGGTCTCATTTCAAGTAGTTCCTTTTGGATTCTGGCTTTCAGGCCGGGGTACATTGCATTTCCACCAGTGAGAAAGACATTCTGAACTAGCACATTCTGTTGCTCTTTGGAATACCTGCAGGAACAAAATACATGAGTTCAATTTAGTTTTTCTGAAGAAGCTCAATCGAGTGAATGTGACTAGCTCTGGAGAACACCAGTGTTTCAGTATCAAGTGAGATATTGTTTGCAGACTTTGCTTCACAAATGTCAAACCTGGTGCTCATATTTGTTTTTCTGCAGATAACTAGAAATGTACTGAAGTGGCAGAGGAATCATTAAAAATAGGACCCAGTCCAGGAATAGTGTAAATCATATTCAACCCTTGCCAGAATTAAGCAGAGCTGAAACTAGAACTCTTCTTTTAGGGCTGGATTGTTTTTCTGATCATATATTTTAGGAGTGACTTAATGTTGATAAAAAAAATGTCCTTTCCTCTGGGTAGTGCCTGACCTATTTCCTTTATACTAATTTGGACTCATCTGGTCCTAGGTCTCTACAATCCACATGGATTGTGATTTCACGGAACAGTCCACAAAGGATCTTTGCCAACATCTCTCTTCATTTAGGCCAACACAAGATGACTACTGAAATGAGTAGCAATCTTATCCAGATTTGCATGGTAGTCTTCTGAACACAAAGACTTCTCTTTTAATCAGGTTTTTTAAAAGTGCTCTTTGACCACCAAAACAAAGATTCAACTAGTAGAATAAGTATGCTGTGGCACCATTAGGGTGCTCACCACTTAGTGGACTGGTGCAGGCGATGGATGAACCTGCACAGTGAGCAGCAGGGAGACCCTCCTCCCCCCTCGGGTAGCCATTTGAAGGGGGAAGGTGTATGGCAGTGCACCTTTGGGTGCCTGCTACTTTGAGGCTGAGAGCAGGCAACTGGCAAGTGTGGGCCACCCCTGATGAGGCAGCCATTCTAGATCCAGGCCCACAGGGCTGGGCCAGCAGCAGTCAGAACTCCGCCCAGGGCAAGGTGAACCAGTTGGTCACCGTTCACATGAGGGTTGCGAGAGGGCTCGAGAGGCTGCGCGCCTGCCAGCCAAGGAGAGTGAGTATGCAAGCCTGATGGCTTATGCGGTTGCTGAGGAGAACAGGGTAGGTTGGGTGTGGCTCAGTGAGGGGCAGTATCTAAGAGGCCTAGTGAGAGAGGGCAGAGTGTAAGAAGCCTCAGTGAGGGGGGGCAGCGGGCGACATGAATGAAGCCTGATGTGGCGGAGTGAATGAACAAATGATTGAGGCCTAGCAAGGGGCTGGGTTTGGCCCAGCCACAAGCCAGAGCATAGAGAAACTCAAGGATGCCATCTGTGAGGCACGGGACATGATAAGGGAAGGTCGGAGTCATGCACAGCACCCCCTGGCATCAGGGCAGTAAAATGGACAGCCTCCCATATTTATACACCAGTTCTGGGACCAGCAAGTCATGGCAGGCATGACGGCAGACTGCCCTACTTAGGTGGGCAGGCCGACATGAGACCTGGCCCTGGAATGGCCCCCTGTCACATATGTAATCAAGCAAATACTGTAGTGCCACAAACTGTGACAGCCAAAATAAACAGACCTGTTCAAGGGAGTGTAAAGAACTTAAATATTCACATCTAATTGCGTTTTACTTGGAACTGTGCATGGAATTACACTAGGCTAAAACAAAAACAAAATTTAATTCTGTTTCCTCAAACCAAAGCCCCTGTGGCATCAAAAAGAGTAAACGGGAGCCCAACAATTTTGTGAACTCACCTGTCCAAGACATACTGCATCGTTTCTGCTATGCCAGCCTGTTCTTCTCCTATTAGTGAGGGTTGAAAAACAATTTCTGGAGCCCTGATTCTCTCCGTACCAAGAAAAAGCTGGTGGTACTCTGCCAGGTTAAACACGGGCTTTAAAAACATAAGATTTAGAAGAGTATTCCTCATAGGATATTGCGAGTTTTTCTAAGTAAGTTTTTATTTACCACTGTTTGCCTTGTTTCACTTCTTATATGCAAACCTATTTTAGATCCTGTCCACCTTATGAAAGTGTATCATGTTGAAGAACCTGATTACAAGACAGTGGCCTTTACCAGCTCACACAAATTTAGACTTGTAATATGGACAGGACAAGTTCAAGTTTTACCTCTGATCCTGAAATGCAATACTGCTCAGGTTTTGAATGACTCTACAGCATACTTAAAGATAGGGTAAAACTATATTTAGTTTCATCAAACAGCAAGATCATATTGGCTGCTTATAGACATTTAAAAAAACCAAAAGAAAACTGCACTTTACTGGAAGAAGCAGTGCGTTACTTTGGCCCAGCTCTGCAGTGTCTGTATGTAATCGGGCACTTCAGTGGGGCTTTTTGTTGCTTTTATCTAAAACCAAGTCAATCAGCTATTAGATAAAAGCGCCAAAAAAAGACGCACTAAAATGCATTAGTTGGGTGAGCTGGGTCCAACTAACACACTGCCTCTTCTGGGCATGCACAGGGCTTGGTGCGAGAATGCACCAAGTTTAAAATAAAGCGCCGTTTTGGTTGGGGTTTTTTTTAATGTCCACAAGAAGCCGCTATGTTTTACTCATATTGGGGGACTACAGAGTTGTAATGCATAGTCTATCCATACTTTGCATCCCTTTCTGCTCATCTTTCCAGAAGGTGGTTGCTGGAGATATTAAAAAGCACCAGGTATGTAAATGCTCTAGTTTGAAGAAAACTAGTGCAACTAAAACCTCCCTTAATGTGTAGTCTATATTAGTGCTCTCACTATAGCTGCCATCAATCGTACCAATAGTCAGAATTAACTAAACCCCCAAAGCTAGCATAATAAAAGACCATCACACACATGGGTTACATCCCAATTCAACCCTGTTACAATTGCATTTATGTCAAACCAAATGGTATCAAATTCTACAATTTAGGCACAGCTGTTTAATCCAGTTGTCTCTTCACTGTAAACATGGCTAAGCTCACTGGAAACCCTCATTCTAGCTGCAATCAACTGTCATCAGAACTTGCTAGCAGAGCTCCAGCACCAACATAAAAATCATGTTTTCATGATGAAGATAGAGCAGAACTATATTAGAGACATTGCCCTATGCTGGCTAAGAGCTTACTAGCACAGATTTGATGAGAGTCCTCAAAGGAAAACAAAAGCTTTGCCCACACTGACCAGGGAAACCATTCCAGAACACTGTTAGTAAAAACTACATTAAAAAAATCACTATAGTTAGCATGAGTTTGTTTCTTATGTAGGCAGGTCTGAAGTGACACTATGAAATCTAGTCAGGTGCAGTGTTATCAGCTAACTCACTCTAGACGTGTTCATACAGGGAAGTTAGGACATGCTGAGGTATGAATTCAGAGCACAGGATCTGTCACACTAATACCCTATATAGACATTCTTATTATGCACTAAGGACCTGTCTGGGCAGGAAAATTAATTCAAAGTGAACTGAATTCACTAAATTAAATCAAATTAATGTCACCTTAATTCCAAATACAGTGTAATTTAACAATCTACTTTAAAAATTAAATCAGATTCTCATTCCCCAAGCATTCCCTTGTAAACAAGTCTTTATTGCATACCAAGTGTGTCCATATAAGCTAAGTACAGACAGTTAAAAAGCCTGAGGCTGAATCAATTCAATCTTTGCAGGTTAGTTTAAGCTGTGTAGATTGAACCACTAAGCAAGTGAACAAGCGTTCACTTTTGATTCTGGAAATGCATCCACATGCCCGTAGCGGCCCATGCCAGAAGCCAAGGGACGCTCTCTGCTCCACTGGAGCAGCCAACTTGGGCCAAGGCTAGCTCGCCCACCCTGTAAGAGGCAGTTTGTGGGGACTGTGAGTTAACTTGAATCTGGAAGGGATCTGGGACAGACGTTTGATAAACCAACTGAACCTAAATCAGTTATCTTAAACTGCTTTTGGCCATTTTGAAAGTGGTTTATATGCACTGGACTTGTTGTGTTATAGATTTGAACTGGTTTCTGATCACTTATACCAGCTTATGTGTAATTCCTGTCCTTAGCCATAGACAGTTAGTGAGAAGTAAATTCATACCATGCTTTACTGTACCCAGATTTACCCACGTAGACATTTGAAAGAAAACAGTTAAACGACGCATCAGTACAATGTATTAAGCTGACAGGAAAAGGCAATAATCAATTCTTTTTTAAACATGACATCACATCACATATTTCTCTTGCATAAGTCATCACTTGCAAAAGCTTCTCAGAACCTGCAAATGATGTTCTCTTTACTAATTTTGTTCAATCAGCTTAAACATACAAGATTCTTGTACCCCTCTGCCTTTCTGTTATGGCTGTAGTAGTAAACAAGTTCTGAAGTACGATCAGATTTTTCTGAGCAAGAAAACCATCTGCAGCTACATTAGCTAGGACAAAAATAGCAAGGGTCATCAATCTTGTTGCTCCAGAATGTAAACCTATCATCAGCTATGGCTGGGAAGATGTTTACCTGATAGGATAATGTTTAGGGGAACTGTGCATTTAAAGCAACCAGCACTGACTATTATCGGAGACAGGAAAACAGCCTAGCTAGACAAATGGCCTCAACTGGTAAGGTAATGAATCTGTAGTAAAGAGTTATTATATAAGTCTAACCTGCACTGCAGCAACAGGCTTCTCAACTTCAGGCTGTTCCTCAGCAAACAAAGGCTCAAATTCATTAATGCTGTCCACATCTTCCAGCGACTGTTCACTGCCCAGTGCGTCCAGTTCTGGGGTCTAGGAGAGGAAACAAAGAGGACCAGTTATTTCATGGAACACTGATGTGGCAGGTACATACAAAAGGATGAAGTTTTATAGACTCTGAGATCCACTTTGTGACTGTTGGGCCTACAGACATCAAGACAATGACTAGACTAAGCCAGAGAAAGGGACCAAGATGACACTGCCAACTCTACTAGCTTTGGTGGTATCCCCTGAATGAAATATGAGACTTGGGGTTTGGTAGAATGACTGCCTCTCGGCATGATTCAGCCCTATTCACTGAAACCTCATCTCTACAATGCACATTTTCTCAGATACTGAGGAAAAAAACAAAGCAGTGGAGTTAAAAAACAAAACAAAACAATGTTTCTTCAGTTTCTTTCTAACATCTGTTTGAGATGTCAGCTCAGAAATTAAGACTCCTATTTAATGG